CAAAACTCAAAACAAACCAAATTACAGAAATTAAACTATGCCCCTTGTGGTATATATTAAATTCAGCCTATATGCATTGAATTCACCATAGTTTTATTGTGTAGTGTATTTTATTCACCTGTTATGTGGATCATTTTGTAAAGTGTGTAGGAAATCTTACTTAGTAATAGAATATTTGAAACTAGTAACAAAATGAATGAGCAACAAAAGTATTGCCCGAGTTGGTTTTTGCTTCTTTGTACTATTAAGGCCAAGTAAAAAAAAAAAACATGTTTAGCTTCCAGAGTTTTCAAAAAAGGAAGGAGGAGGTCCTTTTTTTTAATGATCTCTTTGAAAGAAAGTTACACCCTTTCTTTTTGCATTATTGTTGCTTGTTTTCAAAGGGTCCATGTCAAACAGAAGTCTTCTTTGTGAATAAAGAAAAGGCAAAATAATTAACTGTGTTAATTTCATCTTTTATTCAAAAGTCTTTGTTTTTTTGCATGACTGAAAAATACTAATTCAAAAATGGAAAACATTGCCAAAGAAAAAAAAAGTGGGGAGGTGGCTGAAAAAAAATAGAATCAGGCGGGGATGCCAAACTTTATTTTTTCTATTTGGCCTAAAATTATTTTATTCCTTTGAATACACTTTACACTTGCTCAGAAATATAAACCTCTAACACAATGCTTCCCAAACTGTGTGCCGCAGATAGGTTTCAGGTGTGCCACAGAATTTTTTACAATTATTAAGTGATTTTTATTTAGCACTGTATATATATATATTATCAATTTCATAAGTTTTTTAACTTTCAAATTTGATTTATTTTCTCCTTGATACATAATATGACAGTAATTTCTGCCTGTCTTAGTCAGGGTGAGTGCTACTAGGCCTGCCATACATACAGACTTATTTACATATACCACAAAAGGTTTGGGACATTAAAAGTGTACCATGAGCTGAAAAAGTTTGGGAAGCACTACTCTAGCATACATTATTATGCCCCAGATTCAATACTCTCTATTATTACTGTTTTTATTTCCAAAAATTTTTGAAAAATCTGTTCACAAACACATTGTTTTCAAGATTTAGTTTAAATAGATCATGCAATAAGTAATAACAACATCTAATCTATTTTTGTCCACCATAAAGAACTATTTAAGAATATACCGGTGAAATTGACATTAAGGTGTACATACTTAGAATGGGATATGATGTATTATTGAATACCTATGATTAAAAACTGTACCCAATTTTAGGTTCCAAAATAAATAACTTGAGAAAAACTTCTTTAGATTAATTTTTCTTTCTATTTTTCACAGTTGTATTTAAAATGTGTTAACTAAGCAAAAATAGGTTATATTGAATATTACTAAAGATGAAAATATTTAATACATTAAAGGTTTGGGACCTAATGTTTTTAAATATTTTTTGTTCTTTTTATTAAATGCAGTAAAGATTTATTTTGTATAGGAAAGTGATTTAGTTATGTATTAGGGCTTAAAGAATGTATAGTTTTACCACAGAATTATGTTGGGGTTGTAAAAACAGTATTGAACAAGGCAACAAGTGTACTTCAGAAAACGTTACATTTTTCAAAAGTGGTATCATCATATAGCAGGTGGGTGGGGAACATTGAACATTTGTCCGGTTGACCAATAGGTCAGACTGTCGTGACTTATATTAATATTATGATATTGAGTTTCTAGGGACAGCAGTACAGCTATATAGGTGAAGTATGTTGGAAAGGAAACATTGAATGAAGCAGAAATTTTACTCACTTCTTTACGTTTCTACACAAAGCCTTCTTTTCAGAGAATGATACAAACAGATGCAGATTATGTACCCTCTCGTGGATTATTTCATTGGTTGCCGAGGAATTTGTCTTCCTGATTGGTTGATATATCCTGCCGCTTTTGCCCTTCTCCCTGCACAAATCAATAGTGACCCGGCAACCCTAGCCAGAGTAACAAAGCCTTCTCTGTGTTCAGAGGTGCCTCTGTAGCAATATATGCAGCTTTAATGGTCCATCCCAATCTCTTATCATAACCCTTATGCAGAGTTTCTATATCTTGCCACTTTGGTAAGTGTCCATGACTGTCTATGTGTAACACTAACGAGTTTGATATAAGGTGTTTTCTTATGTCATTTTTATGCTCATTAATTCTTACATCTACTCCCTATAAAGTTTCACCATAGTATGAAATGGGACAACCACTTCATGAAATTTTATATATTGCACTTTTTTCTTTTCTATTATTACTTTTACATTTCTTGTTCACCAAGTCCCTGATTTTGTAGCCTGATACATATGCTATTTTCATTCTTAAAACCAACCAACGATGTAATCCATGAGAGGGTACATAATGTGCTGTATGTATTTGTTTGTATTATTCTTTCCGAAGAAGGCTTTGTGTCGAAATGTAAGAGAAGTGAATAAAATTTCTGCTTCATTCTGTGCTTCTTTTCTAACATACTTCACTCATATGTCATGATTCAGGTCAACAGCTATATAGTTTTATTTAGTGCTTAGGAAATAACATTTAAATTATTGAAATAGTATATCTAGACTTATAAAAACTAAAATTTAGTGTTTTAGGTGAGGTGTTTGATACATTGTACCCAGAATGCTGTAGTCTGTACTTGAATTGAGGGAGAGTATTGGGGAACACCATTCCCATTTCTAAATCAGTATCGGTTTCATCCCTCTTGTTAACAAAATAATGCCCATAGTGAAGGAGTAAATGTTCCAACAGTGAGACTTCAATTTGTACAGTTATAGCTGCATTGTTAAGTTGGTTTTTAGTTTGCTCTTAACGTTTGTTTTATGTTAGATCTTAATTTTGATCTAATTAGTGACTGTCCACTGAGGTAATTAAAGCCATGATGTATATTCCATTATTAGGTAGTGACAATTCAGGCACTGCCTGTAGTTATTTACCATGATCCCCTGAGAGCTAAAACACTAGTATTAAATATTTGATTGTGCTTTAAAACAGAATTTTCAATATACCGCTCCACATATTTTGCATGTAACTTATGGCTATTGGTCCTTGAAAAGGCTATATATATATATATATATATA